GGCTACAATAGTTGATTAGATCGTGACTGTGCTTTGCCAAACTACAGTCGACCCCGCTTTAAGGACACCCATCGTGTTATATTTTGAAAGTGCCCTTACCACGGGGAAGTGCCCATAAATTGCTGACTCCCTCCTCAATATTGTATACCCGCGGGACACCCTGCTTCTGAGAATGTTGTTGTCCTTATAGCGCGGAGTTGACTCAAGAGGAGTGTCCCTAAAGAGGGGAAGACTTGCATGGACGTTAGTGCCCAAAGGGTCCTCTGTAAGTCTAACCCAACGTTCGTCTACATGTACCACAAGCAGGAATCAAGGAGTTTACAAATGGAATGCCTATGGGCATTGGCAACATGGTGCAAGAGTCAGAGGCCAACACGTCTACGAGGAGGCGGCTAGTCTAAGCAAATGATAGTCTGTTTCGTGCGCGTTCTGCACTTTGAGATTGCACAACGACCACTGTCTCGACCAAACTTCCAGTTCTGGAACTTCGACCAACGAAGCTATCGCCTCCATATACCGCGAGCTACACTTCTCACCTCTTAAGAGTACCTCCATGGCGTCACGAGGTACTCTGATGGTAGGAAGGGAAGGCGCTTGACGGCGCAGGTACATGATGATTCCACTGACGATGTCGCCCGCACGGCAGGCGTGTCGGATGGCCTTGGCGAAGAAGCACAAGAAGGGGACGGAGACGATGACCACTAACACGCTCGAAATAACCATCGCGAGGTTCGCAACGATCCACGCCCACACGAAGGCGCAGACGGCGGACACCTCGCTGATCGAAAACATGGTGATTCAGGTTCTACTGTAGTTGTCGGTGAAGGGTCTTGTAGTAGAGGTGCTATCTGGAAGCTAGCTAGCTGCAAATAGCGAAATTAAAAGTGGGGAGGTCTTGCTCGTTCATCGCCATTGTGGCGGACTCAACCACGCCGGATCTTCAAAGTATCTGTTTCGGCTGAAGTTTCATCGGCCAATGGGTGATCTGCAAGCAGGTAAAATATCAGACCGAGAAGTTGAACCGACTGACTTCTGCAGAAGGGATGGGTTCACACCAAATTCCGTTTTTGTCTTCCTTGGGTGATCCAATTGAGCTTGATTGATAGAGAAGATACCCGCTGCAATATTCTCAAATCATACTGCATCGTCGTGAAGTAGGGCGCACCCCTCCCTTTTTGCCCTGTCAGAATATTTCGTTGTCACCCGCGACGGTAGGCACGACGTGAGCGTGCCCATAGATAATCTAACTCTCCCATTCAAGGACAACAGAAACAGTGGTCTAGTGTACAGAGGTACACATACAAGGATGATTGGAGCATGACTCGGGCTGACGTGGAGAAACATGGGATCTCGACCTGTAACTTGTTCTCTACAGTTCCAATCCGTGAAGGATTGGTTTCAGCCACGGAAGAAAAAAAAAAACTAAGGAATCTTGACGGGAGATTTTTGACCGGAAAAAAAGTGCCCGGAGAAAAGTGACCGACAAAAGTGACCGGAGAAATTGACCGCGGCTGATTTCTCTCGGCTCGCGAAAGCTACGAGCATGAGACCGCGGCGGTGCCTTCGAGAGACCTACCCCTGGAGGGCCCGGTCTATTGAATTTCTATCCAAGCGACACCGGCGCCAAACCCAAGCATATTGTCTCGCTCAAAATCAGTGTGGACACCTGTTTGCTCTGCTTCTCCCCAGCTGAACTCTTTGAGCTGAACAACGCCACAAAATCGCTACGACGACGACGTTCGGGGCCATGCTTGCCCACACCCGACCCCCGCCAGAACGGCGAGCGCTTCACCTCGCGTCGCACGCAGCGCAGCGAAAAAAAAGTACAATACCCCCCCAAATCCGAGGCGTTGAGGCACCTCTTGGGAAACCCCTTGCAGTTTTTTCGCCACAGCGTACTCCACAACCCAGCAAGGTACAGCCCCATGCTGGCCACGACTCGATGCGCGAGGGCGAAATAGGCGTGCTGGGCAAGTCTCGGCAAGGATGGTGGCGAAGCGAGCGAAGAGGGCAACGAACATCATTTCGGCTGATTTGCGGGTCGAGTTGCGCCGCGCTGCCCAGCACACGATTTTTTTGCCGCATCGATAACTCCACATCCTGCGTACGGGAGTCCACGAAACTCGGACAGCCAACGCAAACACAGTCCACACATGTGTGTGCCAATTTTCAACCCCATCCAAACAGCACGCCGCCCGCGACAGTGTGTCGTCATCCCAACGCTGACCTCTCGCGGCACAAATCAATCACCTCGCAAGTATTCGCAATTTCTCAGGACACACTCAGCCCCTAGACACAAATGTGACATCTATGTGGAGCTAGAGCTACACGGTCCAGAGAAGGTTGGAACCCTTGAAACGGTTTAAATCTAGAAAATCCATGCATGATCCATTTTTTTTCCATACACTGGTGTAGTAGGCTAGACTACAGCGGTGGTTACATGCATGGCACACAACACCCGTTCTCCACATGATGACGGCTGCGCACTGGACTGCCGGTGTACTTCTGCTGGACATCATCATATGCTACACGTATCAAAGTCTTCCATGTAGTCTTTTTTTCTGGTCGTATCTACGCACGTACCTGTAATCTACCCAGCACCTACAGTAGCTCCGGCGCGGGCATGCTGTTGTAATATGCGTAGAAGAATATAGATTCATCCGGTTGATGCACACTACTCCTGCTGTAGACTACCATTCCTACTCCTCTACTGCTGCTACTGTAGTCTGTACAGGATACACGACTTTGAACAGCACACACGTCCGTCCAAGGAACATATTTCGATGTTCGTTAGATCCATCTGCCGCCACATAGACTACAACTAGAGACTTCGTACGACACAACCACTAGTCTACTGCTGTAGTCTAGGTATGCTACAACTACAAGTTCCACTTTGTCCAAGGAACTTTTTCGAGCGAAGCGAGAGTTTTTCTAGAAGGCTCTGTTCCACTGGGTGCGGTGCCCCTCGCAATCACGCGCACTTGCTTGTCCCGTGGACGCGCATATCTGACGACAGTTCGTTACATCTAGTGGAAGTGGAGGATAGGGGTCAGAGGGGCAGACGACAGAGTCCAATGATGGGGG